TCATGCAAGATCCCAAGGGCAGAGACTCTGTCTGTGTTTTTCACTGCTGTGTCTCCAGGGAGCTGCACTGAGCCAGGCCCAGCTCTCCGTAGGCACTTAGCGAACAACATCAGAGTCTATATAGCTCCCAAGCCTCCAGCAGGGTATATTTATAAGGAAAAAACTGATGGAGACAGCTACTGTGTGATCACCACCCTGACCTTGACCGTCCTTGGCTCTATATACACAGTCTGACTGTGTGGCCAGAGTTCCAATACATGTTCAGAATATCCAACAATTTTTTTATCTGACTGTGCAAATTAAGACTTTCCACACATTTTACAAAGAAAGTGAATGGGGTTCTTCACTCTCCAGCTTTGTCTGAGAATTCAGCTTCGGGGAATAAGGATGAATTGCCCACACCATTAGTTTGTTTCTGCTCAACCAACTGGTAAGTTTTAGCTGAAAAAAATTAGAATCTGCAAAAGTTGTTGGAATTGAGAATCCTATCTTATTCAACTCCTTCGTTTTATTCCTCCTTTTTCTTCTCTTCCTCCTCTTCTTCTTTCCCTTCTCCCTTTCCTTCTTCTAAAACCATGATTCATCCAGAGTTTCAATATCAATGGAAATCGTAACTTCACCACTTAAAATTAATTCAAACTACAGAGATACATAGTTATGCAACTGGTCTGATAAAATTGCTTTTTAATTGTTTATAAGAGGTACTAGCAAATTTCAAGTTATGAAATAACCTACAATTTGTTAATAAAAAACAAAGTTTTTGAATAGCTTTAGAATGACTTAATGTTTTTGTTTTTGAATTTTAAAAAATGTACCTTACATTAAACACGTGCACACACACAAACAAAAGTTCTCATGTTTGTTACAATGTACTATAAGATGTTTCTACCTTGGTTGGGAGGAAGGGATTATGGTTAGATGTGTATATATATATGTGCATACTCCTCACTGACACTAGGGCTGTTTGTATAGGACTGAGGAGTTCACTTGTCACCTGATATGTTAATAATAATACCAATGATAATAAGAATAGTAGATATTTAAGTAATTAATAAGTTCTAGGCAGTTTACAAAAGTTCTCTAATCTAATGCCTGCAACTACTTAATGTCTGGCAGTATTACCGTTATTTTATGGATGAAGAAACTGCAGTGAGCCGTAGACCTGAAATTCATACCCATGGTTGTTGACTTCTCTGAAAAGCATCCACTGGGAGCCTTGTATTTGGATACATTTCCAATAACCTACTTAATGGTCTTCAAAAACAGATTCCTGACAACCCATCCATTCATTCCCCAACAAACTGGATTTGAGGTGGGAGAGCCTCATTTATTTAGACAATCACATCTTGTTAACAAGTATTTGAAGATAATTGTGCCCTCTGAAGTTTACCTATTCTCAGTAGAGTAAAAGTTAAGGAAAGAACGCTGAGGAGGACTGCAAAAAATGAAATTAGGCAGTTCTATTGAATCATATTTTATCAGGATAGAGTCAACTCATCAAATACACTAGCTAGCCATGTAGAAGGCATGTGTAGAATACCCACAGGAATACAGTTGTCCTACCCTTGAATAGTTCATTACCATTGTTGAAAATAAGACAACAGGCTTAAAATGGAGTCACTTATGCTAAGCTCCATGTTACCAAACTGAGACTTAATTATAGTGTTGGCTTTCCCAGAAACGGAATCTTAAACCAGTCAGTCAGGAATCTCCTGATCAACACTAGTTATACAATCTGCCTGATAGACCCCTGCTATCTTCCAAGGAAAAGTAACCTTGCAGTAGTGAACTCAGTTTTTTGCCTAGTATAACTTCCTTATTCCTGCTGCCTTCTGCCATAAAAGTCTTTCTGTTTGCACACCTCCTCCGAGCCCCTTCCTGTCTGCTAGATTGGACACTACGTGATGAGTGAATCATTGAATAAAGCCAACAAAATCTGTAAAATTTACTCAGTTGAACTTTTTTTGATACCATTAATCTGAAGAGACAGATATGTACACAATTAGTGATGGTAAATGTAGGATCATTAACGCCATTATTTATTGACCACTAAGTATGTGTTATCATCTAAAAACCACACACCAACTCCAATTATTATCCTCCTTTTACAGATGTAAAAGCAAAGGGTAAGAAACTTGTTTAATATCAGACCATTAGTAAGTAGGGAAACCTTATTCAACCCAAAGGGAGCTTTACAGCAAAACTGGTCCCATGAGGCCACACAGCCTTCTCTGAAAGAGACTGTGACAGGTGCTGTAGAAAAAGGTGGAAGGTCAAATTCCAAGCTTATCAAACACAATTGTAATACATGAACCATTCTTAACGAAAAATAAGTGATCCTGATGTTAACCATTAGTCTCCCACACTTTGCTGGAATGACAAACTGACTAAAGATGAACACTGGACTTGGTATTCCAAACATATGAGCTGAGACCATGTAGATTTGATTCCAGTGCACAGGGCTCTTGCGGTCCTGGGCACCTGTTACTTACAGCCCCAGAGAATGTCCCTGTACACCCGGAGGGTCACTGAGGTATGAGGAAGAAAGATGTTCCATGGGAAGCAGAGATGTGAAAAGGAAGAGAAGAGAAGGGAGGTGGTCATGATCTATCGAGATGGCTATGTGCCATCTTCCCAGCGAACTCTGACTCCTCAGGAACTACTCTCAGGCTCAAACGTCCCTGGAACTTACCATGCCTGAAGGTAGGGTTTGCAAAATCCTTAGAAGAAGTTTTCTGGGTCAGCGTAACATTGTAAAAATAATAATTTAGATAACACTTAAAGAGGGTTTGCCATTTTTAATCCCCCTGTCTCCATATTAGCTTATAGTTGGCCAACTTTAGGCTTTAAGCCCAGTCTCTGTAGAGTCTGTTATAAACACTGCTTTGAAGTCTCTGCAAGTACAACTTAAACACAAATAAAATGATCTTCCCAATACACTGCTTCAGCCATAGTGATCTTCTATCCTTGTTGACCAAGAATCAAATGGAAGTTTTATCAAAAGCCACAGAGATCTACAGTCTATACACACCTGAAGGGTACACTCACTCTACCTCTGGGGATTCAGCCACCAAAGCATTTTGGCTCTAGGTGGTCACATTTAGTGCCAGAAGCTTTTAGGAGCAGAAAAGGAGCCCGGAGCTATTCTCAGTGAATGCAGACCAAGAGGTCAGCAGGGAAATACGCAAAGAAGTGATCATTATCGTCATTCCTAAAACCCACAACTGAGTGTCCTGGTGGAGGTGAATGAGTAAGAGCGGGGAAGGACACCAGTTTCCATGCTGACTACAGAGGCTGTTCAATAGGCCACTTACCACTGGCTAGTAAATGAGTGAGGAGCCTACACCATAACCCCAAACACCTCCAACAGGAGAATTCATTCTTCCCTAAATCCATACCTGTTCTGTCTTTTCTACCAAAAAAACAAAAAAGGAATTATTTTGCCTTAGAGACACTGTATTAGAGTTAGGGTATTTCTAACTGACTTACGGACCATTTGATGTAGTTGTAACCAAAGTTCTACAAAAAGTATATCCATTAGCAGGAATAGTGCTTGGCATTTTAAGGGAAAAAAGGTCCTTCACTAAGCCTATCCATCATCATTTCAACATGCCAAGCCTGCTTTGTCCATGAACAGCAGAGAAGAGATGCACCGCTGGACACATAAAAGAAAGAAATGTAGAAATCAAAGGGTCACACTTCAATTCTAATGCTGAGCAGCACTGTGTGTTTGCAATAATGTAAATCTTGCTTGATGGATTATTTTCAAATTAAAACTGGAATCAGTGTCACCTCATGCTATTTTTTCATTTATTCTGATGTAGAATTCACTTAGTATTTAATAACTCACTGTAATGTAAAAAACAAAACAAAACAAAAAACAACCACCCACATCAGCTATAAAAAGCAAGGTTTTTTTCCATTCAAAATTTAACATAAGAGGGGAGCAAAAACACAGATCGACTCCATTCATAGCGCTGTGTTCTATTTTGATATCCATACTTTGAAAAGGGCCAGAGTCAAGATGAATGGGAATAAAATGTGTTCGTGGGAAAACAAAAGGCATCATGCTATGAACATGCAGGACTCATGGATATCTAAGACAGCAAATAGGTAAAATTATCCCAGTGTCTCCCGGAGCTTAACTCATTATTCATTGTTCTCACTCCCCATGGCTTTGTGACTGATTGTCATCCCCACCAGATCATAAACTCCAGGGGTTCAAGGACCCTGTCTGTCCTGCCCACCTTTGTAGCCACGACACCTATCGGAGCGTTTGACAACGAGCAGGAACTTTCTAGTGTCTTATTAATGACTGCGTGAGTAAAGCAGACACCTGACGGCGTGTGACCGGAATTAACGACGATGTAGATTTTGACTCAATAAGAGGCTGAGCAATTTCCCCCAGTCAGAACCACTTAGAGTTGGGGATGGTGGCTGGTGTGTTGTAGGAGAGGTGAGATCACACATGAGCACGAGTGGAGCAAATAGAATGCAACTCTGGGGTCCGGACTGAGGCTTTACGATCTTCAAGAGGCTTGTTACCTCTGAGGCTCTATGATCATAACATAGACCCTTCCCCAGTCTGGATCAGAATTTAAACTAAAATCATTCAGACTCTTCTCTGGGGTTGGAATTACATAGACAACTTTTTGAACCAGAGATGGTCAACTCTCAACTACCTTTTTTTTTTTGGCTGTACATTTATCCTATTTTAGCTGAATCAAAGGTAATACTGCTTTACTATCAACTATTTTACTTTTTCTAATTACCATGCTTCCTTTCAAAAGGTGTGGACCCAAGGGTTGACTTAATCGATCCACAATGGTGTTCCTTACGGAAGAAAGCTTTACCGTGTTGGCTGTAGGGTAGGAACACAGCATACCACCGAGAATTAATAAAGTTCACCCTCACTCCACTGGATTTAATCACAGAAAATATCTCCATACTTCATGAAACCAGTGTCTGCTTTTAATCACAGGGTGGTTTAGGCTACTTACCACAAAAGAATAATAAATCTTGAATCCAGGTTTAGCCACAAAGTAGTCATCAGACTTGAATGTTATTTTAATTTGGTTTGTTCTTGATGTTATCCTTGGAGGAACCTCCTTGTGTCCACACCACCGTCCTCTAATTATGGTACTGGTTTCAGATACATCTTCAACTTCCACAAAATCATACCTAGTTTCAATTTGACATAAATAAATGTATTTTGATTACAGGAGACTTTGAAATTCATACTTCTACTCAGAAATTAAAACTAACATATGTGACTTCTCATGACCTACTAAAATGAGAATTAAAGCCCATTGAAATTTTGAAAGGAAACCTAGTTTTTTGGATTAAGTTTTTCAAGTTCAAACTTCAATAATCTGAACGAACCTTGTGCACGTTTAGCCATGAGTATTCCCAAATCATCAGTAATCAAAATGGGCCACCTTCTGAGCATATGGCTCGTAAGGGTCTCCTAGGAGAACTAGTAACTATAATCTATTGTCATCTATGGTCCTATTTTTGGAGATATAGCTCTAATTATATGTCCAAATATTTACTATATAAAGTTTTTCAAACAAATTCCCACTTTGAATTAACTCACCACATGCAGTGCTTCCTTAAGAAAGGCCTGTATCTACATAGCATATGGAATCAGCATCACATTACATCATCCCATTATAGAAAATACATGGTACAATAAAATAAATCAGTATTTTCTCTTTTTGGAAACTGTCTTTTGGAAGGATCATATCATAAAATAGGACAGTTTTCGTAGTAAAAAGCATTATGACTTTAACCATTACTGGAAGTATCTGGGACGCTTAAACCAGTATGTGGATATGCTGAAGACCACAGTTTCAGTTCTGACTTTGGGCAGAGAAACACGGAATGCCAAGGTTAAGGACAGGGGACAGTCCCTCTCTGAATGTTCCATATAACCTTTCCATCACGCAGTAGAACATCTTCAGTGACAGTGTACATCTTCTAGGGATCATCTCCCTTATTTTCAGACACCCCAAATCTTGGGACAGTCTACTTGGTGAGCTGAACTACCTGACCTTCAGTTCTGGGCATCAGTCTCTACCTCTCCCCAAAGACACGGGATGCTAAGGTCACAATGCAGAGGATGAACACTTAGGGTGAGGAGCGGCTGCAAGCTCAACACACCGTGGATTTTCTGTCGCGACTGCCAAAAGGAATCAGCGTGAGAAACATCACAGGTGAATGTGAAGGAAACCCACATTCTTACCGAATTGGGCAGGGTAATCTCAGGAGTGGGTGAACTTATCACCCACTTACCCAACTTATCACCCACCCAACTTATCCAATATCCGTATCATGACTACGTTTCGCTGAAGTGACTTACGAGTCCCTTAATTCCTTTGCCTCAGTTTCCTTATGAGCAAAATAAAAGGTTTATACAAACTTACTAGCTGGATATCTCCTGGGTGTTGTGTAAATTAATTACTTAATGTTTTTATGGTGCTTGGAAGGTGAAAAGCACTCACAAAGAATCATTATTCAAGCAATAAAATATTACAGTGTAAACATCAAGGAGGCTTTGGAACAGATGGTAGGAAATCAATTGCATGTCATTTTATACACAGTATGTGTAAATCATAGTTACTGCACAAAGCATGAGTATACTTGAAACTTTGTTAATAACACCATAGGTCACTTTCACTTTTTTTTTTTTTTTTTTTTGAAAACACAACATCAGTGTAATTTTTACTCTGGATGAAGTCAAGAGAGCATCACTTTAATTCTTCGGGAGGGTCTGAGGCTCTGATGTGTCTCCTTCCCACCTTCCTCTCCCCTTTCCCACATCATACTTCTCTACCTGCCTCCGTAAATTTGGAGAAGCAACTGGATTTTGATGAAGGGCCCTGAAAGGAAACCACTCTAGCGTCTTCTATTTTCAAGGCCTGGGTGCTGAAAGAGCTACTTCCCTACCAGGAACAAAATCCCAGCTCAGCAGCAGAGACCTGCCTTCCCGTCTGGGTCATCATCACCTCCTACAGTCTCCAAAAAAAAAAAAAGTCTCCCACCATCTTTTTTTCCAGCACAGAAAATGAGTTCTCCCTTTCAAGGTTGAAAAGACACGAGATCTGCTGGAGTTTGTTCTCTTTGTAAATATTAACGGGCTCTTCTGCCTGTATTTGTCTCTGATTTCTGGCATACATTACCCTCTGTGGTCCTAGAAAGTAATCGTCACTGCTGTTATTCTTGAAAACAACAGCCACATAAGAAAAGCTGTCAGCATAATAAACATGCAACAAAGGACAGCCAGATTTGAGGCACCCTCTTTTTCCGAGCCAAAGGGAAATAATGCTGCCAAAAGGATTTTGCCGTTGGGCAGGGCGTCGGCAACGGAGAAGGAGTGCATGCGGTGAGGTGCAGGAAGGAATCAAAACCCTCACCAGCCTCGTGCGTGCTAATTAGGTGAATATGATGCTGGGCGCAGACCATTCAAGGAACAACCAGGACTTTCTCTGATAAATACGCTTGGAAGGGAGAAGATTCTCAGGCACGGTTTTTGTCGACCTCTGACCCAGGACGGACAGGAAACAGACCGTGCGGGGCTCCCAGAGCCTGGGGCTGACAGATGAGAGGCCTGAGGTTTCAGGGTACGGCCGGGACCCGGGCCTCACCATCACCCCCTCCCAGCGCACGGGGGGCGATCAGGACTATGCACCAGGGACGGCTGCCTGGCTGAGTTTCCGGAGCTGGGCAGAGGGGAGCTGGGCGCAGGCTTGCACCAGAGCCACCGACGTGTCTACAGGTGACGTGAGACCCTGGATGCATCTACCTGCTCACAAAGGCTGCTCGGGGCCTGGCCGGAGCGGGGCCTCCGGGGGCCCCCTTCTCTGGCAGTTGTGGGCCTGCATTTCCGGGAGAGGCACCAGGTAAGCAGACCCTCTGCAGAGGCCGTCGGCACTCCAGTGTGTTCCATCCGCCAGGACAGACGCAAACGCTTTCTGGGAAAAGGAGGGGGACGACACACCTTGGGTAGGTCCTTGGGGCCTCCCCCAAGGTAAGTCTGGTGTGATGCCTTAAATCCATCTCTTCTTCACCTTGGAAGTGTGCCCCTGAAAGGGATTCTCCCCACTTACCTACAGATATCATTTTCGGCTTCCTCCAAGCCAAACTGGTGGTCAAAGGTGAGCTGTATCCTGGTTTTCTCCCAGGACTGGAGCCGCCATGTCAGGAGCAGGTTCCTGGGGTAGCTGTTGGGGAAGCGAGGACTCTGCACGTGGCCGTGTCCTGTCACCTGGATGGTCTCGTCTCTCCGGTACAAGTCTGTGAGGTGATTGCTCTCTGTTAGTAGTCACAACTGGTAGAAATTAGTATGTTGCTCCAATTACAAGAAAGCAAACAAAGAACAGTTTAAAAACATCACATGTTAAAGCACGTCTCCTGATTTTTGTCTAACAGCAGAAGGCCAAACAGCAGCCTTCCGGTTAAACAAGTAACATCCACATTCCTTCTGTGACCCCCCCACCTCCCCGGCTGCTGCAGACCCACACTACCTGCAAAATATTTTGTACTTGGAGAGCTCCTTTAACATAATTTGTGACAAGGAAAATGAACAGTTATCTCAGAACTCGGGTTCATTCAGATCAATATGAAAATAAGTAAATAATTTCAAATAGTTCCTCCTTCCATGTAATATAAAAAAAAATTTTTTTTTTCTTTTTCTCTTTACCCTGACAGCGTGACGGCATGGCTTCAGTGATGAGCACAGGTCGGACTCAATAAATATCGTTGCAAGTGTGAACAAAACACACAAAAGAATCTCACGGTGCGGGGCGCCTGGGTGGCTCAGTCGGTTGGGCGACTGCCTTCAGCTCAGGTCATGATCCTGGAGTCCCGGGATCGAGTCCCCCATCGGGCTCCCTGCTCAGCAGGGGGTCTGCTTCTCCCTCTGACCCTCGTCCCTCTCATGTACTCTCTCTCTCTCATTCTCTCTCTCAAATAAATAAAATCTTTAAAAAAAAAAAAAAAGAATCTCACGGTGCTTAGTGACCACTTATTTGTAATTCAAACAACATTTCCCAGTGGTTTCTCCATCATAAAAATGATTATTTCTTTGCCTTCATTTTTGGTGACTTAAAGGCCCGATTCTTTTTGTTGTTGTTTATTTATTAGAGAGGGAGCATGAGAAGGGGGAGAGGTAGAGGGAGGAGGAGAAACTGACTCCAAGCTGAGCAGGGAGCCGGACGTGGGGCTTGATCCCAGGACCCTGGGATCACGACCAGAGCCGAAGGCAGACGACTGGGCCACCCAGGCACCCTTAATATTTCTATTTTCTATATTCTATTTTCTGTGTGTTGTATCATAAAGAACTTGTCTGGTCTTTGTCCTGGGTTCCTAGCAGGGAAGGCTATCCCCTTAGAATTTCCCAGGTTACTGAAGGGTCTTTGTTATTCATGATGGGCCCTGGGGACCACACCTGAGTTTACACTAATGAGGTGATTAGCCAACCAACGTGGGTTTGTGGGCCCCTAAACAGTTTCAGGACAGTGGCTGGCGATAGAGTAAGACCAACCCCGTGGTCAGAGGGTTAGAGCTTGGAGCCCTGACATCAGCCTGACCTCCCAATCTCCCTGGAGGAAAGGGGCACTGGGGACTGGGTCTAGTCGTACTGTCAGTGATCCTCTCAGTCACACCTGCAGAATGAAAGCCCGATAGAAACTCTGGTCCCAGAGGCTTGGGTCAACTTTCTGGCCGCGGTGTAAACACGAATGTGCTAGGAGGTGACACGTCCTGAGGACGTGAAAGCTTCATGCTTGGGATCCTCCCAGACCTCATCCCAGGTGTCTCTTCATCTGGCTGGTCCTGATTTGTACTCTGCACAAACTTAACAGTAAAACTGTAATTGTAACGATAGTGCTTTCTTGAGTTCTGTTAAGTCGGCCTTGCAAATTATCAAACCCGATGGGTTTGTGGGAAACCCCAAATCTACAGCCAGTTGGTAAGAAGTATGGGTTGACTGGTACCCCCTCCCAATCTGCAGCTGGTGTCTGAAGTGTAGTCTCGAAGGCGCTGTGCCCTTCCCCTGTGAACTCTGACCTCACTCTGGGTAGGTCTGTTGTTTTATCTTTCCCAATATCCAGAGCTCTTCGCATTTTAGATTTTGGCTGTTCAGACCCTGCCATTAATGGGCCTCCTGCCACAGCCTATTTGCATTCTCCCGCAGAGAGTTTATTTTGAGGCCCTCTAATTCAGCGAGCCTGGTCAGGGAGGCTTAAATTGCTGGTGGAAACCACCGGAAGGTGGGGTTGCCCAGGGTGGCTGGCAAAGTGTCCCAAATAACAGAGGAAGGAAGAGGGAAGAAAGTGACATGCAAAAGCTTCTCTCCCTTTCACAAATGTTCTTGTGCGGACAGGAATTACTATATATATATATAGTTTTTACTTGTTCAGTGTTCAACGTGTTGCGCTTGCCCAGTTCGATTCTGCGTGGGAGAGAGTGCTGGAGGATCACAGGGGGCTGACAGGAGCTCTTCTCTGGAAACCAGGACATGAGTGACAGCTCTGGGTCTGTGGCCACCTCCATCGAGCTCAGCCACGCACGGCCTCCCGGGTGCCAACAGACAACGTCTCCCGGCTGACCCTTCCCTCCTCTCTTCCCCGGACCTTATGCTGAAAGTGGAGCCGTGAGAATTACCCGTCTGCTCATTTGGTCATAGGGGGCTTATAGGAAACGAGTGAGGGCTGTTTGCTAGGAAGAGAGATGTGAACGATCAGCCAATCAATAATCATTTATTAAGTGCAGACTGTAAACATAATGTTTTGCAGTGTTTTCAAAGGTAAAAGTTTTACCTTTACAATTGGTGCCATATTTCTGAGTACTATTATTTGCTTAATATTTCTCTAAATTAAATTTTTTTTAGAGAGATAGAGCATGTGTGCACGCGCAAGTGAGTGGCAGGGAGGGACAGAAGGAGAGGGAGAGACAGAATCCCAAGCAGACTCCCTGATGAGCAGAGCCCGAGGTGGGGCACGATCTCAGGACCCCGAGATCAAGAAATCAAGAGCTGAAATCAGGAGTCAGATGCTTAACTGACTGAGCCACCCAAGAGCCCCTCTAAATTAGTATTTTTAATCAAAAGCAAATGTATTATAAAATAAAACTTTGTATCAATGTAAATAGCAACTAGATAACCACTTGCCATGAATAGAAGGTACCCGTAAATCTAAATATATAACATTATATAACATTTAAAAATATGCATCTGAGGTGTTCACATTGCTCATTTATCAAATAAGGAGTCTGAGCAGCTTGTTTTCCATCTGGTCTCCTCTGGCGGTACTATTCAGCGGTTGTGTGTTTTTGAGATTCCAGATGCTATGTTACGTTTGGCTCTAATTTCAGAATGCTTCAAGAACAGTCCCTGTGTCTGTGGACCTGAGAAACACAGCCACCGCACACCTCGCATGCGTTCGTAACCCACGCACGAGGAACGGGAACCGCTGGGTGTAAGGCCCTGGCTGCTTGAGGCTACCGTGAATACAAGGCGGGTACACGGGATTCTGCGAAGACATCTGCAAAACACCGGATCGGAGCAGAGCCCAAGCGGGCCCAAGTGGGACACGGGGCAGGTGGGGGGACCTGCAGCTTTTTTTTTTTTTTTTAAAGATTTTATTTATTTATTTGAGAGAGAGAGAATGAGAGAGAGCACATGAGAGGGGGTAGGGTCAGAGGGAGAAGCAGA